GTATTTGCTCTGACCCACCCAATGCAACCAGTTGTTGTGGCCATAGGATATTTTAATTGGCCTGGATGTGCTTCCCTGGATTGCTTGCTTGGGGGTAAGGGAAGGGCAGCTTCCCAGAGGAAACTCAGTGGGCTTCCACCCATTGGGAAGGGAATGGGTGAGAGGCAGGCCAAATAACAGAGGTGAGAGAAGGAACAAAACATTTATAAAGTGAAATGGCTATGTGGGACTTCATAGGTATTTCCCACACTTCCTTCCTAGAAGGTAAGTAGAGGCACAGGGTCATAATGTAGACTAGGCCCCTTCTAATCAATTAGTAACAGCTGCTGAGGCTCCGTGTTAAGAAGGCTTGGGGCTTAGCAGGATGTCAGGCTGGGATCAGTTAGTGGTATCGCCATGGAAAGAGGGAATGGTGAGCCCAGTGCCGTGTGCTTGCCACCCTAGCAGATCTCATTGCAGGTCTTCATTCCTGACAGCAGTTTAAGAAGAATAACTTATCTCAGATCATCAAATACAACTTCTTGTCAGTGAAGGAGGCACCAGGCTGGCAGTCGGGCAGGACTTAGGGTATCCAAGATGGCAGTCACAGGAGGTCAGTGCAGCTGGGTAGGGGCCGACTCCCCACCATCGCAGGCCGGCCTGAAGAGAGCCAGCGTGGTCTGGCTGGCAGGGCAAGATCATTCCCCCAACAGAAACCACGAGCCATGATGACACTGGGATTAGGCGGCTGGTCAAAGTTGACAGAAAAGAATTGGGTGAACCGGCAGGTTTAGAACTGAGGATGTGGGTCAGGGGATGAGTTCACGAAGCATTGACCCTCCTGGAGCCCCAGTGTTCCCATCAGTCAGATGCAAACGCTAACCACTGGCCATCCCCTGCATCTTTGGAAGGTACTGATGAGAGCACAGCTGTGAATGTCACTTGGGAACTAGAAAGTGCCATATCTGTGTCTCAGTCTGTTTCTGCTTCTGTAACAACATACCATCAACTGGGTGGCTTATAAACAACAGAACTTTATTTCTCACAGTTCTGGAGGCTGGGAAGCCTAAGATCGAGGCGCCGGCGGATTTCGTATCTGGTGAGGACCCATTTCCTGATTTATAGATTGCAGCTTCTCGTATTCTTACAGGGTGGGAGGAGCAACCGAGCTTACTTGGGTCTGTTTTATAAGGGTATGCCTCCCATTCGTGACCTCATCACCTCCCAGAGGCCTCGCCTCCTCATGGCCTCACCATGGGGGTAAGGATTTCAACATAAATTTGGGGGATCACAAACATTCAGACCATAGTAATCCATGACCACCACTCATGGGTGTCTGATCCATGCCATGTTCCCAACCTGTGGTACTTTATCTTTGTAAGAACTTGGGAGGCAGGATTGTTTTTATTATCCGCATTTTGTCAATAGAAACCGAGGTCACAAAAAACATAAATGTCCTGATCTGAAAGGGTCAGTGTTAACCGCAAAGCCAAGGCCTTTTTGCCCCCCTCATCTAGGCTACCTTCCATTTCAAGACAGTCCTTCTTCTGCATTTTGTCTCCCCTCTGGAAAGTCATTCACACATACATTCCTTTATTTGTTCATTAAATGCTGAGTTCTGCCTGTTTCCCCAAAGCCTATATGGATCTCAGAAATTTGATAAGTACAGAATTATATCAAATGCTTGAGCAGGGGGTGTCCAGAAGGCCTATCTGGTTTTATGTTCTCTTTTCCAGAGAGGGCAGTGAGGACCAGAGGCGGGGAGGTGACCCAATGAAGGATGCAGAGTGAGTCCTCACAGACCCAGAACCCAGGCTGTCACTGCAGCCACCCCTCCGCCCCACCTCCTCGAGCTTCCTTCCCACTCAGTAGTTCTGAAAATCTGCTCTGGACCAGGCACTGTGCTAGGCAATTTGCTGATTATAGCCAGGAACGTAGAACCACCAATTTTTCCTGAAGATGCATTCTTTCTTAAGCAGGGAATCAATTTCCGGCAAGATTCACAAGCTTCCAATGAAGCCACTTCTGTGAGTCTGGATGAAACCCCATTAATCCATGGCCAGGGTCATTTATCTCCCTGGCTCGGGGCAGCCACAGTCCTTTCAGATAAGCGGTGTGGTGTTGCTGGAGAAGGGGGACCCACGGCAGGGGGTGAGCAGGCACAGAGAGGGGCCAGAGAGGCCGCACACACGAGCCTCCTGTTCAGTGTGTTCGGTCCCAGGTCTGTCCTGGCTCAGCCACACACTTGCCGTATGACTTGGGCCATCCCCAACCCTTGCCTGAAGCTCCATTTCCCCATCTGTAGATGGGAATGAATGGTCTTGAATATTCCTTCTCACTTTCAGAAGCAGGGTGATGGATGAGGGTCCTGGCTTCATAGGGAGAGAAGAGACTTGGGTTTGAATCCCAGCTTCACCCTTTTGGGACCCTGGGAGTTGCGGTTGAATTGTATCCTCCCAAAAAAGGTGTGCTGAAGCCCTAAACCCCCAGTGCCTCAGAATGTGACCTCCTTGGAGCTAGGGTCTTCACAGAGATAAGTTAAAATGAGGTCATTAGGGTGGGCCCTCATCCAGTATGGCTAGTGTCCTTATCAAAAGGGGGAATTTAGGCACAGAGACAAGACACGCATAGAGGGAAGAAAACATGGAAAAACAAGGAGAAAATGGTCATCTACAAGCCAAGGAGAAAGGCCTGGAACAGACTCTCAGAAGGAACCATTCCTGCAGACACCTGAATCTCAGACATCTGTTGTTTAAGCTACCACCCCGTTGTGGTCCTTTGTTATGGAAGCCCTAGCAACCTAATTTATTTATTTATTTATTTACTTAACTTACTTACAGTTCATTTATTTATTTGAGACTGAGTCTTGCTCTGTCACCCAGGCTGGAGTGCAGTGGCTCGATCTCGGCTCACTGCATCCATTGCCATCCATGCCTCAGCCTCCTGAGTAGCTGGAATTATAGGCAGCTGCCGCCACACCTAGTTAATTTTTGTATTTTTAGTAGAAATCGGTTTTCACCATGTTGGCCAGGCTGATCTCAAACTCCTGACCTCAAGTGATCTGCCCACTTCGGCCTTCCAAAGTGCTGGGATTACAGGCGTGAACCACTGTGCCTGGCCCTAGTAACCTAATTTAAATGACTTGCTGACATGGGGACGGTAGCACCCACTCTGCTAGGTTGATTTAAGACTGGTGAGAGCATGTATAGAAGGCACTAGCGTGGGCCTTGGCATCTAGTAAGGACTCCATGATAGCAGTGGCTGTTAGTTTGTGCTTCGACCTCCCAGCTCCACTGGCAAGGCCTGTAGAAGGCTCCCGGGACAGGACAAGAAGGCCTTAATTCAGACCTTTCAAAAAGAACTGGGCCACTGGAAGCACTCCTTCAAAAGCCTCTCTAAATATGGAGATGGCCAAAGAAATCACTCTTAATGCGTTGCTTAATGGTTTTTAGCTAGAGAGTGGTCTTAGCCTAATTGACAAGGCCGCGAAGCTGAGGTTTCTTTGTTTTTATGTGCTGGGTACACTTTGAGTATGTTGAGCTGCTATGGGCAATCAATAAGTGCAGCCATCACAGCCATTTTGTGGACATTTTGTAAAGGAGGTGGTATGGTTTCGAGGGAAGGACACTCACCGGATGACCCCGAGCAAATCCATTATCCTCTTTGGGTCTCAATTTCCATATTTGCAAAGTGAAGGAGATAGACCAGCTAGGTCAGGAGATCTTAAGCTAGTTCTATGAAGTTCTAAAAGTTAAGGTACATTTCGTGCGCATACCTGCATCTTGTGGGGAAAAATGTCCATAGCTTTTGTCTGGTTTTTGGAGGGACCTCTGCCTCCCAGATTGTTCACCATGACTTACCTGGACAACCTCAGAGCTGCGGGTTCCTGGCTAGTCTGGGATTCTGGGACTCTGGTTCTAAAGCTGTTTCTAAGAAGCAAGTCCTACAAAGCTGTCTGCTCTGAGTTACTGGAGAGAGGGAGATCTGGAACATAGAGCTCACCCAAGAACTTATTGCTGCGGGCTTTGCTGGCCTGGGAGGCCCTAGCTGCCTAGCAACCTGTGTCTCTGCTTTTCGCCCTCCCTTCTGTCCCACAGTCCCTAGATGGTGTCTGAGACGTACCTCCCCGACCCACCACCTGTCCCCTCCTGGATGGCTACAATAGCTATTAAACCATCTCCCGGCTTCTATGCCGGTCCTACCCCCATCACACTTGGGGTAAAACCCAAATCCTTTTCCGATCCCTACCTGATCCAGCCTCCACCAGCCTTCCTAGTGTCATCTTTTCCCATTTTCTTCATCCCCCACCCCTAGTCACCAAGCTGCAGCCTCACTGACCTCAGCGCCTTATGCCTTGGGCTCAGTCCCCACTGGGGTCTTTGCCTCTGACGGTCCCTCTGCCTGCAGTCCTCTTCCCACCTCTTCCGCTGCCTGACTTCTCCTTCAATAAGTTTTTCCTAACATTCCATCTCGTTTAGATTCTGGGCTGGGCACAGTGGCTGACACTTGTAATCCCAGCACTTTGTGGGGCTGAGGCAGGATGAGACAAGCCTGGGCAACATAGACCCCTGTCTCTACAAAAAATTAAAAAAGAAAAATTAGCCGGGTGTGGTGGTACACACCTGTGGTCCCAGCTACTTAGGAGGCTGAGGTGGAAGGATCGCTTGAACGTAGGAGGTTGAGGCTGCAGTGAGTCGTGATCAAGCCATGTTGTATTCCAGCTTGGGCAACAGAGCAGGAGCCTGTCTCTAAAAATAAAAAGGGTAAAATGATAGATTTTGCTTCCTGTTATCTTCCATCAGTGCACCTTGTTTGTTTCTCCTTCATAGCACTAACTCAGTCTAGAATGAAATATTTATGTGTTTTCTTCCCTCACTAAGATGTCAACTCAGGGAGGAAGGAGCTGAGTCTTATATAACACAGTGCCTGGCTCATAGTAACACTGGACATGCCCGCTAGAATGGCTAAATAAGTGACTGACAATACCAAGCATTGGAGAGGGTGCAACACTCGTACGGCTGATGGGAATGTACAAAGTGAGTGTTCTCTCACTGTGGAAAACAATTTTCTGTTTTATAAACTTATACACACACTTACCATATGGCCCAACAGTTTCACTCCTAGGTATTTACCCAAGAGAAGTAAAGACATATGTCCAAACAAGACTTGTACGCACGTATTGCGGACTTACTAGAAATGGCCCAAAACAGGAAACAAACCAATTATCTATGTAGAACAGGACCCCGGCTGCATCCCCACAGTCTGCTTGGGCACGAAGGAGAAAGAAGCTCTCAAGAGGCAGCGGAGAGAATCCACCTGAGTTCCCGCAGCAGGGGCAGCCATTGAGTGCTGCTGATTTGTAGTTGGGGGGCATGACAGTTGGGCTTGCAGGGACGGGGGTACCTGGGGGACCCAGAGATTGAGGAAGCACCTGTGTCCCTCTCACCTTCAGATTTCCAGTCAGGTTCAGAAGCATTCTGCTCTTCTCTGGAGAGTCACGATTTAGAATCACATGTTTTGTTTGTGTGATTATTTGTTTAATGTCATCCTTCCCCACCCACCATCACAGTGCCTGGCTCAGAGTGACTGGGCTCTCAGTAATGAGGATTGTGGAATACATGTGGATTGGAGAAAGAATAGGCAGGGTGGGCAGGGTGGTGGAGCCGTGCTCTCAGAGACAGACTTGCTGGACACCTTGCTGCCTGCTTGAGGGCAGGGGACCGGCCGCTTGAGAGGACCTGGGCCTGGTGCCGCCTGTGTAGGCAGGATTTTTGCAAAACACCAATTAAGACATTTGACCCAAATTTGGATAAAAGCCTTTTTCCTGTGTCAAGTTGAGCTAATAATATACATTTATTCATAATTTATGAGGCCTAGTAAGTGGGAACAATTAAGGAAAAGGTCTGGGGAAAACCTGTTTCTCTTAAGTGTCACATATGCCTCTTTTTGTTCTCCGAGACAGTTTCCGCTCCTCTCAGCCTACCATGAAACACCATTGTTTCATCATTATTATTATCATTTGTTATATTACTCTTAGCTGACATTTATTGAGCAGTTACTAGGCCAGGCTATAACGACATTGCCTCTTTTAATCTTAACATAGAAGGCACATATTGTTGTTGTCCACGTTGTACAGATGAAGGGACTTGCCCAAAGTCCACAGCTGGTGAATGGGGATCTCGACTCAGTTCTGCCAGGCCCCAGGGCCAACAGAACATCACCAAGCCCTTCTGTTTCTGTGTCAGCCCCCCAACTCAGGCTCTTTCTGAATCTGTAGGGCAGCTTTTCTATTGATGACCGTTAAACTTGGGAGACCAGGGTGAGAAATTGATTGCCTTCTGATTCAGTAGCTCTGGGAGTAGGCCTGAGAATTTATATTATTTCCAACATACCTGGTTTCCAGGTGATTCTAGTGCTGCCCGTCTGAGACTACACTTTGAGAACCACTGATTCAGGCAATGCTGCTATCCGAGTCACCTGTGGCTCCCTTCTCCCCCACTCACTGCTGTTAGGTGGGTTTATGACCTTCTAGATCTTTTCCGGTGTGTTTGCATACATGCTATGCTACATAGAGAAATATACGGCTTGATTTCTATTTTTTTTTACACATGTGGGGTTCTATTTTACATGCTGATATTCTACAACTTTGTTTTTTATTTAATGTGTCTTGGAGAACACACAGATCTTCCTCATTCTTTTCAACAGCACTGTAGTATTTCATGATATGAGTGTTTTGTTTGTTTTTGTTTTTGTTTTGTTTTGTTTTGTTTGTTTTTGGCTTTTTGAGACAGTTTCCATCTGTCACCCAGGCTGGAGTGCAGTGGCATGATCTCAGCTCACTGCAACCTCCGCCTCCCGGACTTAAGCGATTCTCATGCCTCAGTCTCCCAAGTAACTGAGATTACAGGCATGCACCACCACACCTGGCTAATTTGTGTATTTTTAGTAAAGACGGGGTTTCGTCATGTTGGCCAGGCTGGTCTTGAACCCCTGGCCTCGAATGATCTGCCCACCTTGGTCTCTCAAAGTGTTGGGATTACAGGCATGAGCCACCATGCTCGGCCCATGATACGGGTGTTTTATGACTTTATTTACATATTGTCTACTGATTGGTATTCCATCATATTATATCATATATGTAATTTTATGTTCATCATATATGTTCCATGATATATTCCATCATATATGTAATTTTAGACATTACATATATTCCTATAAAATCCCTGGGAACATGGATGAGTGTTTCTTCAGAACCTAGTAGTCACACATTAGTGTCAGTCATTATCATTGCTGTTTTTGTTTCATTATTAATATAGAGGCATTGTTAGCTTCAAGAAGTCCACTTATAAGTGGGGACATATGTGTAAAGGATTAGCTCCTCATTTACAGTCTCTAATAAAGTTTTCAACAAAACAGTTCTGGTAAGAGGACAGAGATGTATGTGGGTAGGGCCTTGAGGGATGTATAGGAGTGCAGAGGGGAGAGCAGCAGGGGGGTTTGTACTGTTGGGGCCTAGCTTAGCTACCAGAAGATTCTACCAAGGGGTGGAGCTGATCTTCTCATTTCTTGGTCATTTGGCAAAATCGGGCCTTGGCCACGGATCCAGATTGGCTGCATCATTATTGAGAGGTCCCCTGCTTGGGTCTAGCCAGCCTCAGCTCTGATCCACCTCTTTCCTTCCTGTCTCCTCAGGGTGGAGGGTCCGGGGAGGAGCAACTCTATGCTGACTTTCCAGAACTCGACCTCTCCCAGCTGGATGCCAGTGACTTTGACTCGGCCACCTGCTTTGGGGAGCTGCAGTGGTGCCCAGAGAACTCAGAGACTGAACCCAACCAGTACAGCCCCGATGACTCCGAGCTCTTCCAGGTATGCCCTCTCCAGTCTCCCCTCCTCCCACCCTGTCAGGCCTCTCTGTCCTCAAAATCCCAGCTCTGCCTTGCTCTGCCCTCTCCTGCACTTGCTCATGCCGGGAAGTCCCCTCACCCACCAGAGCTGTTGGGCCCCGGTTTCTTGTGCTGGATCGGCCCCTGATCTGGCGCAGCTCACACGCCTCACCTGGCCCTTGCTGTATCATCTCCGGGAAGTAAGGGTGAGATGAACTGCTCTCTAGGCCTCCCGAGCAGAACTAAGCCCCTTTGTGTGCCACAGAGGTCCAGGTCCTCTGTTCCTACATTATCTCATCCAATCCTCATCCCCACCCTGCAAGACAGGCTCCAGTATTTTCCCATTTTACAGATAAGGAAAATGAGGCTTGGAAAAGTTAAGTCCTGTGCCTAGGGCAATTAACCTAGTCAGTAGCTGAACTGGACTCAAACCTAGTCTTCTTGCCTCCAGAGCCAGGACTTTATGACCATGATGATACCATAATGAGATGACTGGCATTTATTGAGCAGCTGTTCTGTGGGGGGCTGTCCCTGTTTGTGTATATTAATTCATTTAAATTTCTTAACAACTCTCAGTTGTAAATACAATTATCTCCCTTTTTCAGCTGAAGCCTAGAGGTTCTTTAATAAGAGGCAGTGCCAAGAACCACTATGCATGTGCCTCTCCAGCCCTGGTGCTCCAGCGCCGAGCCTCAGGGGCATGTAATGGCTAGCATTTCCTGTAAGAAGGCCTCTTACGGAATAATATGATGTCTGGGGTTTGCTTCAGAAGAAAGCAAGCTCTGCATGGATTTGCATGTGTGGGTGGGAGTGTGCGGCCTAGAAGGTAATAGATGAAATTAGATTGGCCGTATTTAGCTGGGTGATGGACACATTCAGATTCATGATTCTTTTCTTGGAATTTTCTCCCTCGTAAAGATCAGGGGCAGAAGCCATAGCTCCCTGTGCCTATCTGGCAATATAATAACAATAACAACAATAACATCGCGCGTGCTGAACACCAAGGTGGTGTGCTGCAAGCGTCCTTTCCAAGCGTCCTCCTGACGGATTTTATCATCCTTCTAGAAATGTTTACCGAGCCCCCTATGTGTCAGGCACTGTGTTCATCAGAGGACTTGACGGTCTGTAAACATGTGAACAAACAGTAGTCACTTGTGATAAGGGCAAAAAGGAAATAGAGAAGGGACTGTGGACTGAGTGGTCGGGAAAGGCCTCTCTGAGGAAGGGGAGCTATCAGTTGTGTACTCCTAATAATTGGTTTTACAGACAAGGAAAGGGAAGCTCAGGAAGGTTGAGTAACTCGCCCAAGGTCAAACAGCTAGTAAGGATCCAGGCAAAGATTGTAATCTAGGAACCCACATCCCTCACCGCTACACTGAACCCCTTTGCCAACCCAGTGAGGAATTACCAGAACCAAACTGCAGTTTTGGCTCCAACCAGAGACCTCCATTTTCTTGCTTGAACAATGGGGACAACTCCTTTGCCATATTGCACCCTTCCTCTTAGGGGGCCAACTCCAGAAAATGCTTTTAGGTTGCAGAGAACTCATGAGTGAAAGGGGTTTGGATGCTCCCTGAAGACCATCCCCACCAAGACTATATAGGCCCCCCACCTACTCAGAGAATGGCCAGACCCACCGGCAAGCCTCTGATGAGGTCCTACTAGTGCTTTCAGGCACAAGTAAGCTTGGTGCGGCCCCAGCCCTGCAAGGAAAACAGTCCTCACAGCTGGCTGAGCTCTGCCCTTCCAGCCCCTCTCCCTTTCATGGGCTGCACACTCCACCAGCTCTCCTGAGATTAGGCTAGCTCTATCCATTGCTCACCGGTGCACCCTCTGTGCATGTGACTGGGGCCTGTCCCCACCCTCTGCTCCCTGCCCATCGGAAACTCTGAATGTGGGCTGTGTCTGCATTGTTCTTTGTTGTATTCCCAGGGCTCTGCACAGTGCCGGGCACTTTGTCAGGGCTTAACAGTCATGCACTGAATGAATCCTTCGACACCCAGCTCTCATGATGCCTCCTCCTAAGGCAGTTGGTCACTTAGTCCCGCTCATGGGCTCCCATCTCTTGCACGCATGTGTGTCCTTCAGACTGCAAGATCCTTGGGGACAAACAACACTTTATTCATCTCTGGGGCCCTTGCACATTGTAAGGACTCAATTCATAGGTGTTGAATGAAGGAACTGATTAAACTGACCCATTCCAAAAACCTTGAGCTGGGATCTAGGAGCCATAGGTTCTAGTCCCCTTTCTGGCACTAACTTGGACAGTTTCTTTATGGGAACAATGGGAATCATGGAGCCTTGCTGCCCAAGGCTGCCCATGTAGCTTGCTGCCAAGCTCTGTTAACAATTAAATGGCACCATTGTTATGGAAACAAACTGGGAGAGTGGAGAACAAGCTACAGTTGCAAGGGTTGACACCTCCTCCGGGATGGGAACGTTGCTTCCATTTCTCTGCATGTCCCAGAGTCCTTAGGGATGGGACATGACAGGCCCTTAGTAAATATTTCTAGAGTAAGGCAGGTGTTTGGTTGTTGTGCAACAATTTGCTGTGTGTCCGTGGATGAGTAGCTCCCTTTGTTTGGGCCTCCGTTTCCCCATGTGAGGAATGAGGAAGGAACACGGACAAATCCATCTGTTGAGGCTACAGGAAAAGAGTCACTGGGTCTGGACCTACTCCCAGAAAAATGGGAGGGAGGTGGCCAATTTCCTGGGTTTCTTGAACCTCAATTTAAGCCCCCTGGATAGTAGCGATCTCTGAGTCTTCTTTCTGCCCTGGTGGCCTGCATTCTGTTCCGTGACGTTTCTTCAAGCCACTCTAGGTCCTCAAAACGAAGCCTTTTCCCTCAGATTTCTTGAAGGCTCCTTCTCCTCCTGCTTGAGATCAGCTCAGGAAGACTGGGGGTGGGGCTGAGTCTATTAATATCCCTTCCTCAGCTGATTAACTCTCCATTAATTTGCACTCTGTTTCTATGCTGAGCGGGGAGAGCCGAGCTAATGGGCCTGGGGAAGAGGAGAGGGGTGGCGCAGCTCCCTGGGATGGATGGCTGGAGAAAGCAGTGACCAGCGTGGGCAGGGTTGGCTGCTCCTCCTAGTCGGGCTCAGGGCCTCCAGCCCCACCTGGCTGTTTCAGTGGAGTGGGGTGGGGAGAGGTGGGGAGAAGGGGAGGACTTTTGCTTTTACCCAACTTGATGGGTACTTCTTGAGGTCTTTGCCATTTTGGACTCATTTCAGCACCATGACCGGCACTCACTAAGTCAGTGTTGGCTTTCTAAATCCTGGGTTCTAGTCCATAGTCCTACCCCTGACTCACTGTGTGACCTTGAAAGATCTCTTTCCTGGGGCTTTCTTCCTCCCCTACCACCACGCCCCCCAAAAAATAATGGCAGATAGGTTTCCTTGTGAGTGCCAACTGTGATTGATTGGCAGTTGTCACCTGAAGCCCTGCATCAGGAGAAATGCTGGCATGGAAGGAAGAGGCCGTTAGCAATACAGGGCAGCAGTAGCGTGTGTGCCATACGTTTGAAATCTCTCTTCTCTACGTGGTTCCTGAGAGCCCTTCCAGCTCTGACATTTGTAATAATTCACAATATCTCTGGCCGTTGGTACTGTCCCTGGGAAAGAGTGAGAATTCTCAGTTCATGCAGTGCTGATGATGTCATCTCTGAATGACTTCCCTCTAGAATCTGGTCTTTGAGACACTGAACTTAGCCTCCCACCATTGTTCATTGTTTGGTTCATTCATTCTTTCATTCAGTAAATCTGCCGTGGTGCCTCCCATGTCCCAGGCATTGAGCTTAGGGACCTAAGCACTCTACAAAGCCACTCTCATTACTGCTTCCAGACTTGGCCTTCTGGGAGCCCAGGGAGGGAGGCTGGCCAGGGATCATGTCTTCCCATTTCACAGGGAAAGGAGCAAGGCATAGAGGAGGGAAACGACTTGCCTAAGATCACTGTTTTGATGGCAGAACCCCAAGAGTGGTCACTGAGCTCCAGGTTCTAGGATCTTAACTCCCCATCAAGCTGGACAGATGGTTCTGAGCTGGACAGGGTTGGGAGTCTGGCCTGAGGGTTGAAGGAGACTTGTGGATAGGGTGGGGAGCAGCCAGTGAGCCCCCCTGCATTCTAAAGCCAGAGTCCTCAGGCCCTGATCTACCCTCGGACCTCCGTCCCCAGGGCTTGGGTCAGGCCCAGCCAAAATCTTCTTTTGACCTTTCTTTTATTCTTAGCTCTGTTCTAAAAATTACAAACGTGTTTGTTCTCTCCCCGTGTTCCCCCTTCGAACTTCTCAGCTGCTGCTCCGGCTGTAAGGCCTGGAACAGATTTAGTGCAGCCAAAAGGCCGTCACGAGATGTGTATTTCAGATGAACTTCCTGCAGAAAGGATAAACAGCCTGACCTGGGATGGGAAAGAGTGCCGGAGGAGGCGTCATGTGACAGAATGTGCCTGCTGCCAGAACAGCCCAGGGACCAGGCCTTACTAAATGAGGCACTCGGTGCCTCACCTAGAAACCACATGCTCTCGGCACCAGGCCTCTGGGCATGGGGGCCTGTGGGCTGGGGGTGTGCACGCTGACCCTCCTTATGGTTCATCTGTGCGTGGGGCACTCTTGCTGTCCAAGTCCTGGCTCTGGATGTTATTTGCTACGTGAGCCCTGACAAGTTGCTGAGCCTCCAGGAGCCTCTGTGTCTTCAACTGCAAAAAGGAGATCAGAATCGTGCGCCCCTGGGCGAGGTTGCTCTGAGGCCTCCCTGAGCTTGACAGAGCCTTTCTACTCTCTTCAGCCAAGTGCTGTGCCCCTGGCCTTTGATTGGGGTTTCCCTTTTCCTGGGTCTCCCCTCCTTAACACTTTACCTGGCTCGTGTCTTTCAAGCCTACTTTTAAGTATCAGCTGCTCAGAGAAGGCATCTGGGACCACCCTGAAGAGCCTGTAAGTCCTCGCCACATTCTTTTTCTCCATCATGGCTTCCTTTTATTTTCTTCCTAGCCTTTCTCACGCTCTGGAATGATCTTGTTTGTTAGTTTCACCCCATCCTCTACTGGAGGGTAAGCTCCATGGGAGCCGGGCATGTCAGTCTCTGCGTGCTGTTTATCACTATCGTCCAGCATGAAGCCAGGCACAGAGTAGCCACCGGGAAAGGGAGGGAAGGGAGAAAAGAGTGCAGGGGGCAGTTACTACCATCACCACCACCATCATCATCATCGTCCTGGCAGAAATCGTGTAACAGTAGCAGCACTAGCAGTGGTAGTGGTAGCAGTTACAGTCATCACAGTAGCAAGTGCTTATTTTGTGCCAGGCACCATTTTCTAAGCATCTTACCTAAGTTTACTCATCCAGTCCTCAGCTGTAACCTTAGGAAATGTGTGCTGTGTGTTATCCCACTTGATAGATCAGAAAACTAACTTGCCTAAGGGCCCAGAGTTGCTAAGTATGGGACCTGGGGTCCAGTCCCAGCTCCAGAGTCTGAGTGTCTAATCACCATACTTACTACTTCCTCCGGAGTGAATGAGGAGAGTAAGCTCTGGGAACCTGCAGAGAAATGATAGCTGCCTCGTCACTGCTGTGGTTATTATTGTCATAGTTGAACCCTGAAGCTTCTGGTCATCACACTGCCTGGACCCCAGGGTCTGAGGGGCTGCAACAGGTTGCTGCTACCAGTGTGGTAGGCCAGCCTCTGTCCTTGGTCGGGGAGGCAGGTGTCGCTCAGGTGGACAACTTTGTGCCCAGGTCACATACTGATAAGCAGCAGAGCCAAAAGTGGGACTCCCAGGCAGGGCCCTTTCCATTATCACCTGCTGTCTGTTCATAAAATTCTGGGATTCTTGGAGTCAATAACACATTTATTGGGCATCTGCTATGCCAGGAATACTGAGCAGCTCTGCTGGGGGTGGGGGGCGGCTGAGGGGAAGGTATGGCAGGAGGGTGATGGTGGGCCAACCGGCTGGGCAGAGCTGGTGTCCACCGTGGAGAATGAGTCTAAGGTGGTGACTAACCATCTCCCCATCTGCCTTTCTGGTCCTCCCGCCCTCCTCACTCCAGATTGACAGTGAGAACGAGGCCCTCCTGGCAGAGCTCACCAAGACCCTGGATGACATCCCTGAAGATGACGTGGGTCTGGCTGCCTTCCCAGCCCTGGATGGTGGAGACGCTCTATCATGCACCTCAGCTTCGCCTGCCCCCTCATCTGCGCCCCCTAGCCCTGTCCCGGAGAAGCCCTCGGCCCCAGCCCCTGAGGTGGATGAGCTCTCACTGGTGAGAACCTACTTATAACAGAAGTGATGGTTGCAGCCTGGGATTAGGTTTTTGGTTCAGGGCATGGGTTGCAGAGCAATCCACTCCAGCCCTGCAGGGGACTCTATGCATCAGTGGCAATATTGATCACCGCAGAGAGCCTGGGCTGAAGGTGTGAGGCCCCCTGGGCTTAACCTTTCCCACCTAGAGGAACTAACGACAGAGGCGTCACCTGTATTGTCTACGCTCTTTGGTACTTTAGGGATTGACCTAGTTATGTGTTAAATCCTTGAAATTGCTGCAAAACATTTTCCTGAAGATTGCACACACATGGTAAAAATCCAGATAGTAGAAGTGGACAGTTAAAAGCAAAACCTCCTTAGGCCTCTCTCTGTTGCTTGTTCCTGTCCCAGAGGTAACCATGGTTACTGATCTGTTATGTGACTTTCCTCTTCTACCTTTTAAAAGATTTTACTACAAAAGGGAGTCTACATTAGACAGGGCTCTGCACCTTGCTTTCACGGTTAACTGTGTGTCTTGGAAGCTCTTCCAGATGAGCATGTAGAGCTCTGTTGCATTCTTTGTGTTGGCTGTGTTATGTTCCTTGGTAGGGATGGGCTGGTTCCCCTGTTGGGTATTTGTGTTGTTTCAACTTCTTCCTCATTACAAGCAGTGGCGCAGTAACTGTTCCTACACAGGCCTTTGTGACATGTAAGTGGACAGATTCTTAGAAATGAAATTCCTGGGTCTATGGATCTGTGATTTTCCAGTTTAAGCAGATACTTCCAGATTGCCCTCCAAAGAGGTTGGACTGGTTTACACTTCCACTAGCAGAAGTTAAATGCTGTGTGACTATGTGTATGGAATGTGGAAAGGTGCACATGGAATAGCAGCTTTCTAGGGAGAAGATCAGATTTTATCAGATTTTCAAAGGAGTCTGGAACTCAGAAGTTACTGGAAGCAGTTGCTCTTAATCCAGGCTGAGAGCGCCCAAAGCTGTGAAGTCCAGCTTTGCTCAGCCTGTCTTGGTCCCCTCCCTTGATGCTATAGCTCTTGGAGGCTGGCAGGACTCAGCTAGAAAATCAGAGCCTGTTTGAGCCGGGAGGGTTCTTAGGTTATGGAGAGTTTGAGCTAGAAAGGCCCTTGGTGACCCTCAAGCCCAATTCTGGGAAAATTGTGGCCCAGAGTGGGGAAGGTATCTCCACTGGTCACACAGCAAGTCAGTGTGCCAGCAAAGACTAGAACTCAGGTATTCACTCCTAGTCTAGGACCCTTTCCATTCCTTCCCACTGCCTTCAAGTTCCCCAAAGCAGTGTGAAGCGCCCACCATGCCAGGCACAGAATATGTTCAGTCCCACATTATGGCTCCTGCCGAGAGGGGGTTCTGCTTCCTTTCAGACTGGAATCAAAGCGCCTGGGTTTGAATCCCAGCCCTGCCATTTAGTACTTGTATGTTCCTTAGGCGCTTATCCTGAACCTCTCTAAGCCTCAGCTGCCTGATCTATAAAGTGGGGTTAATAATAGTGCCTATGTCAAAGGCTATTAGGAGGATTACAGCAGATAATACACATAAAGCACTTAGAACAGTGCCTGGCACATAGAATTGCTCAGTAAATATGAACTAATACTTCTGGTGCAACCATGAGTGTTAACAAGCATTCTAGTGCCATTTCTGCATGGGGCCTTTGGAGAGGGACCAAACCTTAAAGAGGCAAAGTGCGACCCCTGCTGGTCAAAGGTTGTTTCCCACCCATGCCTTAGATTACCTTCATTCCCTACACGCTTATTGAGTGCCTCTGTTTCAGCCATCGTGCGAGGCACACAGGAAACAGACTTGCTGTCTAGACTCCCTGCATACCGACAGAGACCTGGAAAGGCCCTGAGGGGTCGAGCACAGTGGCTCATACCTGTAATCCCAACACTTTGGGAGGCTGAGTGGGAGGATCCCTTGAAGCCAGGAGTTTGAGACCAGCCTTGGCAACATAGGAAGATCCAGCTCTATGATTTTTGGGTTTTTTTTATTTAATTAGCCCAGTATGGTGGCATGTGCCTGTAGTCCCAGCTACTCTGGAGGCTGCGGTAGGAGGATTGCCTAAACCCAGGAGTGTGAGGCCGCAGTGAGCTAGGATCATGATACTGCATTCGAGCCTGGGTGACAGAGCAAGACCCCATCTCTTTCAAAGACAAAAAGCAGACAAAACAAAAAGGCCCTGAGAAGTCATCTGGACCTTAGGTTGGGCCATGGATCCCAGAGAGTCCACCAATAGACTTGTAAGGACCCGTGGACCTCTGTGTGTCTGTGTGATTTTCTGAGGTCAGCAACTTCTGTCATATTCTTAGAGTCAAAAAAAGAGGTTTTAATCCAGCCATGTAGTCTCCCTGCGCCTGCTCATTATACCAATGGAGGAATCAAGGCTCTCACAGTGCACTGAGCCTGAGCCAGGCTAGAATGAGGTCTCTTTCCCCCAGTCCTAGGATCCTTTCCCATCGAAAAGTCACAAACGTGTGGGTGCTGGTTTGGGGTGTAGGTGAGGTGGCCAGGATCCTGTGGCTCCTCAAGAGTGTGGAGTGGCCTTTTCTCTGGCTCCTGGGCCTTTGGCATTCCTTGTTGGAGTGACTTGGGGTGGCATGTCCCTCAGGAAAACTCTCCGTGCGGTACTAAAATCTCATGATCTTTCTCAGTTTGTTCTCAAGCTTGGCTAGGATCTCCGGTGGAAAATCCAAATGTGTTCAACTTTCTGCTCTCTCAGCTCAGGTACACTGTTTACCTGCCCTCAGGGTGCAGAAGCACAAGAGCTTTTACAATTTTTATAGGGAAAAAAAAGCCAAACAAGCTTAAATGTAGTCTTCCACTTGTGTAAAAACAACAGGGTAGGGCCAGGCACAATGGCTCACTCCTGTAATCCCAACACTTTGGGGGACCGAGGCGATCGCTTAAAGTCAGTAGTTTGAGATCAGCCTGGCCAACATGGTAAAACCCCATCTCTACTGAAAATACAAAAATTAGCTGGGTGTGGTGGCAGGCACCTGTAATCCCAGCTACTTGGGAGGCTGAGGCAGGAGAATCGCTTGAACCTGGGAGGTGGAGGTTGCAGTGAGCCGAGATCCTGCCACTGCACTCCAGCCTGGGTGACAGAGACTGCATCTCAAAAAAAACAAACAAAACAACAGGGTGGGTTGGAGGTAATGACTACATATATATTCTTGTATAATGAAAGCCCGCCTCATGATAGTTTCACCGGAAAGTAGTTAGTGGAGTTGCCTCTAGGAGGGAGAAAGGGACTTTGGGCAAGAGAGAGACTTGCTTTTAATTGTCTGCCCTTTAGTATTTGCAATGTGTCTTTTTTTTTTTTACCATTTACAAGTATTACCTTACTTAATTTAAGAAATTAATTTTTACAGGTATACGAATAAACAAAAATAACAAAAGGGAAATCAGCTAGAATCCCACACCAGAGACTCATTTTGGTACCTAACCTTCCAGATTGTGTGTGTGCGTGTGTGCACTTAGAATGTCCCAATAAAACTGTATCATAATATTTTAACAGTAGAATAGACAGACATTACCCAAGACCTGCTTGAGTTTTTCAAAGTCATAGCTCTTCCCTGGGGTTATTAACTCTGAAAAGGAATATTAACTCTGAAAAGGAATTGTATGTTATTAGGATACTTATGTGTGTTCGGGATTGTTAGACAATCTGCCATCTGCACCTAGTATCTTGGGATCATCATCTCAGGTCATGGAATGCCCACCCCATGTTCTCCCTGTGGTCCTGTGATGCCCAAGGTCAGTCCTGAGGGGCTGGCCATGCAGTCCATGTCCTCTGGCTCAGCCCCGGCTCCTGTCCTCTCTGCTTTTCCCTCAGCTGCAGAAGCTCCTCCTGGCCACATCCTACCCAACGTCAAGCTCTGACACCCAGAAGGAAGGGAGCGCCTGGCGCCAGGCAGGCCTCAGATCTAAAAGTCAACGGCCTTGTGTCAAGGTATTTCTTCACATGCCCCCAAATCTGCCCCAGGCGTCTGTTGGGGCTGCAGCCTTCAGCTGTGGTGGAGGATAGTGAGTTCAATCAACTTCCAGTATCTCTTCCGGCTCCTCCCATAGCCTTTGTAGCTGGTGTCCTGGGCACTGCCTCTGGAGATCCAGCCTAGGTTAGGGTTCTAGAAGGAGCCCTGGACGTTCTCACACTTCAGTGTTCCAGACACTGGTAGATGTTAACTCAGGTTAGAGAAAGGATGAGGAAAGTGTGGCCAGCCTTCAGAGGACTAAGTGACAGACCAAAACACAAGATTGCGCTGGTTGTGGAGGCCACAGTAAATAGTTTGGATTTTTTTACCCCCCTCAGGGAGCCATTGGAGAGTTTAAAGCTCTGTCATAGATATCCAGGGTCAAAGAACATCCCTTTTCCTCCTTGAGCCCCATCTTCCAAGCCTAACAAGGAGAGGTGTAACAGGTGGCTTTCAAGCGGTCCTGTCCTCAAAGGCTACACACAACCCCTCCTCTTCCTGGTCCTGGACCCTCCTTCTGGGAACTGTTGCATACAATCCTTGATCCTCAGAGGCACAATCAGGTCCCTCTCAGACAGCAGCTCAGTGTAGGAGCCTCTCCCTTGCTGGGGCTTCTCTGGGGAATGAGTCCCTTTGCTCCCTCCCTACTTGTCCTGGCTGGCCCTCCTGAAACAAAGGTCTACCCTCTCATGCCTCATTCTGTTGAAGGAGCAGTAGCCACACCCCATTGTGAGCCAGCTTTTTGCTCTCTGGGAGCCTAGGAACTTCCCCAGAGAGGTGAGATGCATCTGACAGCCATTGCTAGAAAGTTCCAGCACAACGATGAGTCACACTGGGGGGAATTAAGACTGGAGAGAGGTTGACTGGTGCGAGTGCAGAGGACCTCAGACATCCAGCCATGGAGCCTCCCCTTTATCCTGTGGGCACTAGGAGCTACCGAATTTTTTGTTTTTTTAAACTTTATTGAGGTGTAATTTGCATACATAAAAGCCACCTATTATAAAAGTACAATTCTATGACTTTTAGTAAACTTACACCCATGCAGTTATGACCATTATCCAGTTTTAGAACATATCCATCATTCAGGCTGGGCGCGGTGGCTCACTCCTGTAATCCCAGCACTTTGGGAGGCTGAGGCGGGCGGATCACTTGAGCTCAGGAGTTTGAGACCAGCCTGGCCAACGTGGTGAAACCTTGTCTCTACTAAAAAATACAAAAAATTACCCGGGTGTGGTGGTTCATGCCTGTAATCCCAGCTACTTGGGAGGCTGAGGCAGGAGAATGGCTTGAACCTGGGAAGCAGAGGTTGCAGTGAGCCGAGATCGATGAATCCCCCAGTGCTAATTTGCAGTGAGTACTTCCTATACCCAGCCCCAGGCTACCATGAATCTACTGCCCGGCTCTTGGCCGAAGGGTTCGGAGCAGGGGGGTGGAGTGGTCAGTGTGGACCTTTGTCAGTGAATCTGGAAGGGTCTGCAGGGGCGAAATTCCATGGCTGGGAGAGCTGTTAGGAGGCTGGTCATTTCTTCATTCCTCATCCACTGAGCACGGCCAGGTGCCCGAGTCTGTGTGGGAGGCTGGGGACGGAATGAAGGAAACCTGGCTGTTCCTATGATCCAGGTGAGACACAGTGGGCTGGCCAGTGGCCATGTGGATGAGACACACTGGAGGAGTGTTTGGGCCTCCTTCCTCACTCTGGCCTCTCTCCCTCTCTAGGTGGACAGCACCCAAGACAAGAAGGCTCCCATGACGCAGTCTCAGAGCCGGAGTTGTACAGAACTACATAAGCACCTCACCTCAGCACAGTCCTGCCTGCAGGATAGGGGTCTGCAGTCACCACGCCTCCAGAGCCCCCGGCTCCCTGCCAAGGAGGACGAGGAGCCGGGTGAGGACTGCCCGAGCCCCCAGCCAGCTCCAGCCTCTCCCCGGGACTCCCTAGCTCTGGGCAGGGCAGACCCCGGTGCCCCGGTTTCCCAGGAAGACATGCAGGCGATGGTGCAACTCATTCGCTACATGCACACCTACTGCCTCCCCCAGAGGAAGCTGCCCCCACAGGCCCCTGAGCCACTCCCCAAGGCCTGCAGCAACCCCTCCCAGCAGGTCAGATCCCGGCCCTGGTCCCGGCACCCCTCCAAAGCCTCCTGGGCGGAGTTCTCCATTTTGAGGGAACTTCTGGCTCAAGACGTGCTCTGTGATGTCAGCAAACCCTACCGTCTGGCCACGCCTGTCTATGCCTCCCTCACACCTCGGTCAAGGCCCAGGCCCCCGAAAGACAGCCAGGCCTCCCCTGGTCACCCATCCTCGGTGGAGGAGGTGAGGATCGCAGCTTCACCCAAGAGTACCGGGCCCAGACCAAGCCTGCGCCCACTGCGGCTGGAGGTGAAAGGGGAGGTCCACCAGCCTGCCAGGCTGCAGCAGGAGGAGGAGGAAGACGAGGAAGAAGAGGAGGAGGAAGAGGAAGAAGAAAAAGAGGAGGAGGAGGAGTGGGGCAGGAAAAGGCCAGGCCGAGGCCTGCCATGGACGAAGCTGGGGAGGAAGCTGGAGAGCTCTGTGTGCCCTGTGCGGCGTTCTCGGAGACTGAACCCTGAGCTGGGCCCCTGGCTGACATTTGCAGATGAGCCGCTGGTCCCCTCGGAGCCCCAAGGTGCTCTGCCCTCACTGTGCCTGGCTCCCAAGGCCTATGACATAGAGCGGGAGCTGGGCAGCCCCACGGACGAGGACAGTGGCCAAGACCAGCAGCTCCTACGGGGACCCCAGATCCCTGCCCTGGAGAGCCCCTGTGAGAGTGGGTGTGGGGACACGGATGAGGACCCCAGCTGCCCGCAGCTCCCTCCCAGAGGTAGTCTAAGTTGGTGGTCTGCGAAGAGGGGGCAGGGATGGGGTGCAGCATGCCCCTCTGCACTGGGAGCCAGGAGCCCTGTGTTCAAGTCCCTGTCCCCCAACAAAGTGTTTTGTGGGGTTGGACAAGTCCCTTCCCGCCCCTGGCTTTCAGCTTTTCTTTGGGCTAGTTGGAGCAGATCTTCAGAAGAACACCCATGCATCTGAGTTTTTCATCTTGCATGGGCAAGGTGCCACTTAACGAATTAAGCAGGCAGTCAAAAAGTAAACAGAAAAGGAGGATAATTACAAATTGCAATAGGTACTATAAAGAAGACGCACTGGGGATGATGTGACAGAAGCATAAGGCTATACATTCAGCTCCACAATGCTGCTAGAGTCTTAAATGCTGCTAATAACTGTAATGATAACAACAGTTGGCCACTGTGTACTTACCGTGCTGGCACTGGCCTCGGACAAACAGATTGTCCCTGTTGAGTCCTCACAAGAAGCCTCTCTGGTAGGGACTGTCATTGTCTCCATTTTATGATACAGAAACTCAGGCACAGAGCTACTTAATGATGAGCCCTGTGCAGGGCTGTCTGTCCAGAGCCCACAGCAGTGGGGCTTGGAGTCAAGTTCTTCCTCACTGTGCTACATGTTTAGCCAGAAGGGGTCACCCTTGCACCTGTTTGTACTTTCTGCAAAATCCACGTAGATCCCCCAGCTGAGACCTGGGATGAAAGGTGGATTTGAGTTGTTCTGCCCTTCTCTAAAAGTGGCAGAGGTATTTGGTCACCTGCCCAAGGGGCAGCTCTGCTTGGCACCAGTGGAGGCCTGGGGTCTTCTCCAGAGGGGGAACATCTGCTAGCAATACCATGTTGGGGAATCTTATTTTTCTTTGTCTTCTTTTCAGACTCTCCCAGGTGCCTCATGCTGACCTTGTCACAAAGGTAGATTTTTAAAAATTATTGGTGTATTATTCCATGAGATTTTGTCTTGTTGGATATTTGTGTTGGTGGTGATGGGGGCGTTCATCAGCCCCCATGCCTGGTCCTGGCCCCACACCCTGTGCCCTGATTGTCATCTGGGACCCTCAGGAGCTGGGCTCCTTTAGAAGGGAGTTGGTTTTTAGAAACTAACTTTTGCAGGCCAGAGGAAAGTCCTCAGGCCATTTCATAACCTGTCCTCTTGGGGACCCTGAAAAGAATTCTTTTCTGACAGTGCCCTGTGGCTTTCAGCAAGTCCCTTCCTCCTTCTGGGCCTCAGTTGCTCCCTCTATAAAATAAGGAGGCTGACAACACTTGTCCTCTATTTACCCTCCAGTGAACCTTGCCTGTGCAGCTTGAATTCCTCTAACAGCCGGGATGGGGGTTCCCCCAGAGCAAATGCACCTCAGGCTCCATTTCCATGGGCAGCAGAGCCAGGGCCTGTCACAGCACTCCCTGTGACCCTTTCGTGGGTGAGGAGGTGGATGCCTGATGCTGACTTGCTTCTTTCCTTTCTGTCCTCCCTGCCTCCACCAGCGACCCAACTTTTGGCAAGAAGAGCTTTGAGCAGACCTTGACAGTGGAGCTCTGTGGCACAGCAGGTGAGCCAGGGGGCTTCCACTGGCAGGTGCCTTCAGGAAAACACCCGTGCATCTCTGAGTTTTTCATCATGCATGGGCAAGGTGCCACGTAATGAACAATGCACAAGATGCCTGCCTTCATGGGGCTTATGTTATAGGCAGTCAAAAAACAAACAGAAAAGGAAGATCGTTACAAATTGCAATAGATACCATAAAGGAGACTCACTGGGAATGAACCAGGATTACAGGCGTGAGCCACCGCGCCCAGCCCCGGTGGGCAGTTTTACCTGCGGTGCCTGCCCCCTGTCCGTCATGGGAAACGCCAGAGGCATATGAGAGGTATAGTTGGGAGGGTTTGTTGAATGATTGGATGTAGATCAGGAAGAGGTATTTGGAAGATGGGGAGGTTCCAGCTGCCATTAGTAGGTCACAGAAGGGATGGCAAATGGATTTCATCACATGCCAACTCCAAAGAATTGAAGGATTCCCAGGCTACCTCCAGGCTCAGCCAGCAGTGCAGTGATCAGTTAGTGATGCCTGCCATCCACTGGGTTGGGGGAGTAAGGGCACTTGGCCATTTTATTGCCATCCCAAACTAGGGTCTTTTTAAAATTTTATTTTATTTTATTTTATTTTTTCGAGACATAGTCTCACTATGTTGCCCAGGCTGGAGTGCAGTGGCACAGTCTTGGCTCACTGCAACCTCCTGCTCCTGGGTTCAAGCAATTCTCATGTCTCAGCCTCCAAAGTAGCTGGGATTATAGGCATGTACCAACAAGCCTGGTTAATTTTTTTGTATTTTTAGTAGAGACATGATTTCGCCATGTTGGCCAGGCTGGTCTTGAGCTCCTGGATTCAAGTGATCCACTCACCTCGCCCTCCCAAAATGTTGGGATTATAGGTGTGAGCTACCATGCTTGGCCCCAAACTTAGGGTCTCAGTGTCCCTTGGAGAAGTGATCTGTCTTTATCTTACCTTTCTCCTCTTGCTTGGGCAGGACTCACCCCACCCACCACACCACCGTACAAGCCCACAGAGGAGGATCCCTTCAAGCCGGACATCAAGCACAGCCTGGGCAAAGAAATAGTTCTCAACCTCCCCTCCCCTGAGGGCCTGTCACTCAAGGCCACCCCAGGGGCTGCCCATAAGCTGCCAAAGAAGCACCCGGAGCGGAGTGAGCTCCTGTCCCACCTGCGACATGCCACGGCCCAGCCAGCCTCCCAGGCTGGCCAGAAGCGTCCCTTCTCCTGTTCCTTTGGAGACCATGACTACTGCCAGGTGCTCCGACCAGAGGGCGTCCTGCAACGGAAGGTGCTGAGGTCCTGGGAGCCGTCTGGGGTTCACCTTGAGGACTGGCCCCAGCAGGGTGCCCCTCGAGCTGAGGAGCAGTCCCCTGGCAGGGAGGAAGACAGAAGCTGTGGTGCTGGCACCCCACCCAAGGACAGCATGCTGCTGAGAGACCATGAGATCCGCGCCAGCCTCACCAAACACTTTGGACTGCTGGAGACCGCCCTGGAGGAGGAAGAACTGGCCTCCTGCAAGAGCCCAGAGTATGACACTGTCTTTGAAGACAGCAGCAGCAGCAGTGGCGAGAGCAGCTTCCTCCCAGAGGAGGAAGAGGAAGAAGGGGAGGAGGAGGAGGAGGACAATGAAGAAGAGGACTCAGGGGTTAGCCCCACTTGCTCTGACCACTGCCCCTACCAGAGCCCACCAAGCAAGGCCAGCCGGCAGCTCTGTTCCCGCAGCCGCTCAAGCTCTGGCTCCTCATCCTGCCACTCCTGGTCACCAGCCACTCGGAGAAACTTCAGGTATGAACAGGGGGCCGCAGGAGAGGCAGCGGGCAGTGGAGGACCCTAGTTCCCAGGGAACCAGGAGCCCCAGGAGGGAGGATCCCCGGGAAACTTGCCCTGAAGCTGAGGCTGCATCCCCCTGTGTGGCCCATGTCCTGGTCAGAGGCCTTGAAGGTGGTCTTCTGGGGCAGTTGTGGGTGAGTCCTGGAGGCAGGCAAAGCCTGGTCTGTGAAATCGGGAGTGTCCCAAATATCCTGGCCTCCAGAAAGAAAGAAAACCCACTTCCTGGCTGTTTGTGGGCTTATGTCTAAAGGAACTTGTCCCTTACCCATCTGTGTTTTTTGCTTTTATATTTGTAAAATGGATAGGTTTTTGTGCAAACATACATGCCCCAACATTTGAATTCTAGGGATGTTTACATGTAAAAGAAAGATGAGTGTAATTCTAATCTGTGCTCCGGAAAATGCCTGGACATAAAGCATTGATAAGGTTTCTGGGTCCTGCTGAGGTGCGCCGTGGCTTTCACCAGTCGGCTGTCCCTTGAAGGGCTTTGACCTCAGTGGAGAGTTGATGCCTCATGAGCCCGCTTGCTCGTATCATCCTCGCTCGCTCAACCAGACTGGAGAAGAAGCCAGTCCAAAAGTCAGCTGGGGAGCTGGCCAGAAAAAAAATGGAGGTTTGGTGGAGTTGGAGGGTACTGGTCGCTTCTCTCTGATCACAGTGGGTCCTGATTCTCCCTGGGGAAGGCTTGAGGAGGGTCAGTGTCGTCATCCCCAGCCCTGTGTTGAGGTGAGGCCGAGTGGCCACTAGATGCTGCTCTTGGGCTAGAGCCCAGCTGCAGAACCCGCTGCAGGATTTGTTGGGCCTCCACTGGCCGGCCCACGCGGCCCACACCTGGGTGTCTGATCTGTAGGTCTGGGGTGGGGCAGGGGCAGGGATTGGCGTTTCCAACAAGTCCCCAGGTGATGCTGATGACATTGCTAGAAAATCATACTCTGAGACCAGAATTTAGGTCTTGTGAAGATACTTCTTCTTCCCTTCTAAAGGGACTAGCAAAAAAAAAAATTTTTTTTTGTTAAATAAAAATGTAAAAAGACTACAGCTTTATACACATCGACAACAAGGGCTTTTAACTGTTTGAAAACCTGATTAAAGCAAAGGCCCATCTTCCCATTAAAATGTGCATACACATCTAACTGGGCATTCAATTTTAGGGGGTTTGTGGGCTCCCCACAAACTATTATTAAGAAGCCCTAAATTTTTTGTTCCTCAAAGTGAGGTCTGCAGCAATTTCCCCAGTGAGCCCTTACTGTAGAAGCCAGGATTCGTCAGTCACAGCTGCCTTCTGCCGACCGCGCTGAGCCTCTCTTTCTGGCTCCGTTCTTTCCCCAGGGGGTAGCTTCTGCCCTACAGTGTTCCAATGTCAAAGGTTTGGCTTCAACCTTGCTTTGCTGTGAGCTAAAGCACTCCATCTCCACATTAGGCAGTGTCCCAGGTTCTCTTCATGTTGAAATACATCTCCCAAGCTGGAGCTTCCCTGGCCTCCTTTCTCTCCTGCCCAGCTCAGAGGTGTTTGGACTGGGCCTGCATTCATAGAATTGCCTGGGAAGAGTCGAGAACTTCTCTAGAAACCCCCATGGATTTTCCTTTTTCTCTTCTCACTTTTGGGCCAGGTTCAGGGCTGACTTTTTCTGCTCACCGCAGAAACTTAAATTGGGTAACCTGGCTCCTGCTCAGCTACCTGGCTGAGCTCAGTACCTGGTAAACCTGGTAAGATACTGATCAGCCTTCTCTAGACCCATACCAAACACACAGCAACAGAAAGCACGTTAAGCTGGGTTAACAACACAAATCTTGAACTCCACAATACCTCCCAGGCACGCTCAGCTCCTCAGGTGGGGAAAGTCTACCAATTCTGTTGCAAAAGGGACGATAATACTATAATTAGGTAACCCTTTAAAGTTGCAAGTCATTTCCCCTCCCATTATCCTACTTGAGCTTCACAGGGGCACCTGGAGGTATCTGCTGCTTATCCCCATTTTATAGATGAGGAAGCTGAGGCTCAAAGAAGTTACATAGAAAAATAGAGCAAATATTTACAGAGCAGTTCCTGGGGTAAGCATTGACATGCATTTTTAAATTTAATCCTCACAAATGGCCAAGGGATGGACACAACTGGTTATCCTTATTTTATAGACGAAGAACTGAAGTTGAGAGGGCTTCTGTAACTGGCCCAAGGTCACCCAACAGGGAGGCGGTGGGGCTAAGATTCAAACTCAAGCTGTCTGACTCACAAGCCTGTGTTCTTGTCCTCTGTGCTGTATTTCTCAGTGACTCAGGCTGGAGGAGTGAGGGCAGCGTGCAGGCAGGCAAGGAAGGCTGCAGGTGGGTGGCACCCGGGAGCCTGCTCGGGCTATGGGACTAATGAGCCTGATAGCTAGCCTGGGAGCATGGAGCTGCGCTGACCAGGGGCTGCTGCGTAGCTGAGGCATGAACCCATAGGGAGCAGTGGTTCTGGACTCAGAAGGACCTACTTCTGGCTTCTCTGCTTTCTGACTTTAAGCAAATCCCATCTCAAACCTGAGCCTCAGATTTTTCATCTGGAAAATGGAGAAACATAAAATCTCATCGGGTTAAAAAAAAAAAAAAATCAGACCAAACAAGATAATAAAAGGACTTTTCTACCCCTAATGGCATAGAGAGGCAAGGCTCAGAAGGGGGTGGGGTTATAATGAGCAACACAGTGGTTCTCAGTGATCCAGTCCGGAAGCTGGCAGTAGGCATGTGTCCAGATGTTCAGGCCCACCACAGCCCCGGGCTGTCGTTACGGAAGGGGAAGCTGGGTTTCTGCAGGAGGCAGTTGTAGCTCGTGTGCCCTTGTGAACGAGTCCTAAGGAAGCATCCCTTGCCTCCTGGAGCAGATCCGCCCCCACCCCCATGGTCTCTCCTGAGAGTGAGTGCCTCTGCTTTGCTTGTTCACTGACAGATGTGAGAGCAGAGGGCCGTGTTCAGACAGAACGCCAAGCATCCGGCACGCCAGGAAGCGGCGGGAAAAGGCCATTGTAAGTGATCTGGGGGCCCAGAGCCTGGAGTGAATGGGAAGGAGCAGGAAGTGTGTGGGGGCTTCATGGACCAAAGCCTTTGAGGCTGGCTGGTGAGCCCCTCAGTCTTCAGCCTCTGCCTGGGGAAGAAGGGACTATGGCAGCAGAAGGCAATGATATTTCTCTCATTTGAAGAGCATGCGGGTCACTAAAGGGCATCAAAGGTGGCACCATGCAAAGTTCAGCCAAGAGACTGGCCGTGAGTGTGCTGTTGATGGTGGTTTAGGGCTCAGTGTCAGGGGCCTTGAGAGAGCCAAGTGGGCAAGCTGTGGTAGTGGGGAGCAGAGCCAGGCTGGCCAGGTCACAAGCCAGCCCTGCCACCACCTTCTGTGTGACTGTGGGCAGGTCCTCCAGCTTCCCCAAGCCTCACTTTCCTCATTTGTACGTAAGGGCCTGCACTTCCCAAGGGTTCCCCCAACTTGATCAGTGCCAAGGGACCAAGAGAGCCTGCCCCTTCCTCCCCACCCACTTCCCTAATCCCCTCCCAGAGTTAGTCCACAGGCCCTGGCCTTCTGCGTTTGCCTGGTGACCCTACTGCAAAGCTCCCCACAGAGAAAACACATCAGGGGCCTGGAGTGGGGAGCTGGAGCTGGCCAGCTAGGCCATGTCACTAGAAAGGAAGGAGGAAAACAGGATGAAAACACAAGGCAGACTCCCGCTGGGTCTCTCCCATGTGATGTGGCACTTCAGGGAGGAGGGGCACACAGGAAGTGTGCATACCCTAGAGGTGCACAGCTGTCTGCATGCAGGTCCTTAAAACCATGGACTGTGCATGGAGAATCTTCTTGGAGTCTGTGTCTGGTCATTCAGCAGTTACAGGCCTATCACAGTTCTGGGCGTTGGAGGACAGCAATGAACAAGAGAGATGAGGCCCCCCTCCTGACTGAACAGAAGGGAGAGAGAGATAACAGACTCGTAACAAAGGAATAAGCAATGTAATTGCAGATTGGGATAAGCACTGTGAAATTAGTAATGTACCATTAGTAACGATCTGGAGTAAACAGGACTGTTGAGGAGGATGTGTTTACGGGGTGGTCAGGGAGGGGCACCTTCAGGGAGCTGGGCCCTGATTGACGAAAAGGAGCGACCAAGCAAAGACTCAGGGGGACAAGTGTCTGGAGCAGTGGCAGGAAAGAGCTTTATGAATTCAAGAAGCTGCAAGGAGAGTGGGAGGAGGGGATTTCTCTGTTGAACTGAGCTTGGACATCGTATGTTGTGGGATGCACAGTTCCCCTGACTGTTGACGACGGAGTCCTGTTTGTGGACCCGCCGCCTGGGTTTTCTTCCTTGGCACGTGTAGTACGGGAGTGGGATGGCTGGAGAATCACTGGCTGTAACGTGTTTCCAGAGCAAGCCTGTCCAGGACAAGAAACTGTGTTTTTCCTATGGGAACACAGGTGTCCAGGAACAAGGCTGAAGTTTCTCTAGCAGGTCACAGTGACTTTTCCAATAGCAGTGGCTTCAGCCAGATCAAGTCACAGATCTGAGAGGAGGGGAAGGGGAGTTGCAGTCTGGACTTTCTCCCACCTGCTCCCTCTGCTAGGCTGTTCTAGGCACCCACTGGCATAGCACAGAACTCTCCTGAGTGACGCCTTGGTGACAGTGTCTATACTGTGGCTTCAGCCACTTTGCCCAGGCAAAACCAATAGCCCTGATGCCCCCACCTCATTCCCCTTCCTTCCAGCCCACTCTCACACTCACAATCAACCTGCCTCCTGTGCTTGCCCTACCCCAGCACCTCCCCTGCTCAGACTTGAAAGGTAAGTCCAAAAGCTACTGAATATGCAGGCATATAAATGGTGATAAATCCCTCCCCTTTCACAGCCCCAGTCTCTGCTCATTTCCTTCATGTAAGCAGCGGCTTCCTTGGAGGCCCCTTCCCTTCCAACACCCTCCCCCAACAAGGGCAGGTCCTCTGGGGTAGAGATTGGCGTTGACCTCTCTCTGACTCCAGCTGGTATTGCTCACTCAGCCAGGCATCATGGACTAGGACAAGAACTCCACGGGAGCACACCCCCAGAGGGGCCCCAGGAAGCCAGGCAGTGACCGAGTCTCTATCCTCCTTCTTGGGCAGGGTGAAGGCCGTGTGGTGTACATTCGAAATCTCTCCAGCGACATGAGCTCCCGAGAGCTGAAGAGGCGTTTTGAAGTGTTTGGTGAGATTGTGGAGTGTGAGGTGCTGACGCGAAGTAAGAGGTGAGTTGAGCCAAGCCATGGCAGATGAAGGGAGCAGAGAGGGGCACCGGTCCTGATCCAGAGCTGGGTACAAGAAGATGTCCAAGGCTTGTGGAATGAATCTGACGAAATCCATAGCCTAGATGTAGAAAGCCAGGCCCAGGAGAAGGACCAGAAATGGTAATGCAGTCAGTAACAGCAGCAAACACGTGCTGATGCTTTACTAAGTGCCAGGCAGTCTCCGTTCATTCTTCTGTCTTAACTTCCCAGCATGCCAGGGACATAAGCGCTCCTAGTCTTTCAATTGCTCTCCTTTCTGCAGGAGTTCAGACAAGTTAACTGGGCAGCTAGTTGGTGGCAAAGCCAGAACCGGAGCCCATGTGTCTGCTTCAGGGCGTTTGGCCTGGAGATAGTGCGGGGCAGGAGCCCCTGGCAGCTTGAAGACGGGCACTGGGACCCCACTCTACCTCAACCCTGTGCTGCTCACACCCCTCCCTTCCTCTGCAGCAGCAAGTCCCAGGCCTTGGTTGGGTACGGCGGCTCACACCTGCAATCCCAGCATTTGGGGAGGCCAAGGCGGGCAGATCACTTGAGGTCAAGAGTTCGAGACCAGCCTGGCCAAAATGGTGAAACCCCGTCTCTACTGAAAATTTAAAAATTAGCTGGATCTGGTGGTGCACTCCTGTATTCCCAGCTACTCAGGAGACGGAGGCAGGAGAATCCCTTGAACCCAGAAGGCAGAGGTTGCAGTGGGCCGAGATCGCGCCACTGCACTCCAGCCTGGGTGATAGAGCAAAAAATAAGACAAGGTCCCAGGCCTTCTGTTCTACTAGGCAGCCCTGGGTTTTCGTCACTCACCTGGAGAAGCAGTGTTTTACCTGTCAGGGGATCTGCAAAAAGAACAGGTTTTATATGAATGCACAATTTAGATGTCAAAACTCAGTTTTGAAATATTTCTAAATTATCTTCTATTATATTGGCAAACACTAAGGCAAACTAAGTTATTAGGGTTTTTACACTCTCATACAATAATAATAATAGAAAGCTTCAGCAAGAAAATAGTTTCTGGTGTAAGAGTTATCATATACTTCTTGCCCATTAGGATGGCTACGATGAAAAAACCAGAAAATAAATACTGGCAAGGATGTGGACAAAATGGAACTCTTGCATAGTGTTGGTGGGAATTTTAAATGATGCAGCTGATGTGGAAAACAGTATGGCAATTCGTCAAAAAATTAAACCTAGAACCACCATCTGATCCAGCAATTCCACTTACGGGTATATATCCAAAAGAATTGAAAACAGGATCTCCAAGAGATATTTGTTCACCCAAGCTCATAGCGACATTATTTACAATAGCCAAGAGGAGTAAACAACCCAAATGTCCACCAACAGATGAATAGATAAACAAAATATGGTTTCTATACATATAGTGAATATTATGAAGCCTTAAAAAGGAAGGAAATTCTGACTCATGCCGCCACATGGATGAACCTGACCGCATTGTGCTGAGTGAAATAAGCCAGGCACAGAAAGACAAATACTATATGATTTCACTTATATGCTCTGTCTAAAGTAGTCAAATTCATCGAAACAGAAAGAGTGGTGGTTGCCGGGGCTGCAGGAGGGAGAATAAGGGAAGTGTTGTTTAATGGGCATAGAGTTTCAGTTTGGCAAGGTGGAAAATTTCTGGAGCTTCGTTACACAGCAGTATGAGTGTACTTAATACTGCCAAACTGTATGCTTCAAAATGGCAAAGATGGTAAATGTCCTGTTAAGTGTTTTTACCAAATTTTTTTTAAAAGAACCATTATACAAATAGAACCATTTTAAGTTCTGTGCAGTTTTCAGGCTATCAAATGAAGATAACATGCAAAAATAAAGCAGGCACATTAATCTCTAAAGAGAAAGATCAATCTGTTAAGATTTTAAAAACACACAGAATCTTTAAAAAAGAGTCTTGGACGTACTACCAATATTAGACATTTAAAGAGGAAAAAGGGTCCGGGCATGGTGGCTCATGCCTGTAATCCCAACACTTTGGGAGGCCGAGGCAGACAGATTACTTGAGGACAGGAGTTTGAGACCAACCGGGCCAACATGGTGAAACCCTGTCTCCACTAAAACTACAAAAAAATTACCTGGGCTTGGTGGCACATGCATGTAATTTCAGCTACTCGGGCGGCTGAGGCATGAGAATCGCTTGAACCCAGGAGGCAGAGGTTACAGTGAGCTGGGATTGCGACCACTGCATTCCAGCCTGGGCGACAGAGTGAGACTGTCTCAAAAAACAAATAAATAGAGAAAGAGGCAGAAGGGTTCAAACTTGGCGCTGGTTCAGAGAGGTGTCAGGAAACATGATTCACGTAAATGTTTATTAGGCACCCACTATTTGTAAGCCTGTGCTAATAGCTGGTGAATGCCGTTTTGCCTCTGCCTTGAGGAGTTTACATAGCAGATGATACGTCAGTCGGGACTCTTTCTGTTGTTCATGGAAGTGAAAAGTTGGAATAGAACTGACTTTTGGTCCTTCTCAGGCAGACTTTTCTCCTGGTTGCAAAGTGGCCGCCTGTAGCTTTAAGCTACGCCCCAGCAACTTAGAGACCCCTGGGGAGGTAGGAGTCACTACATGACTCCAGCAAAGACCTGAGATGGGTTCTTTGGGGTGCAGCCTTGAGTAAACAGGCTTATCCTTGAACAAACCATGGTATCCAGGAAGGGCCATTGTCATGTGGTTTGCCCTGGCACCCTGAGCCTGGTTGACCACACATGCTGTTGTCTGAGGAAGGGGAGTGGAAGCTGAACAGGCAGGCATCATAGGTGTCTACCATGAAGGGCAAGATGTGTGCAGAAGGGGAGGTGAAGCCCAAGATGGCAGCCAAGGAATTGGTGACACTCGCTGGCTTTGAAGGAGGCAGAAAAGTGGTGCAGTAGTATAGGGAGATGGGAATAACAGGAGAAACATACAGGGCTGTTACGAGCATCAGCTTTAATGTCAGAGGCCTGGATTTGAATCCCTGCTCTGTCACTTGCTTTTGGGTACATTACTGAACTCCACAGAAGCTGTTTCCTCATCTGCAAGGTGGAGATAACAACAGTACCCACCTCGTAGGCTCATCTGAGGAGCGTCCGAGGCAAGGTGTGGTGGCCAACATCTGGCAGACATTCAGTGTATTAGCTACTTTCATTATTACCACATTGCAGAAGTCAGCCTGGTGGCCACGTCATCTCTATCTCTATCTAGGGGGCCATGATGCGAGTATCGAATCACTGTGGCAGTCTGTTCCTCATCTAGTCATGGCTGGTCTCACAGTGTCCACCCAGCCAGCCGAATAACATACTCTCCTTCTCCTCTCCCCGCAGAGGCAAGAAGTACGGCTTCATTACCTACCGGTGTTCTGAGCACGCGGCCCTCTCTCTGAGGAACGGCGCTGCCCTGAGGAAGCGCAACGAGCCCTCCTTCCACCTGAGCTACGGAGGGCTCCGGCACTTCTGCTGGCCCAGATACACTGACTACGGTAAGCCCCCGAGACCCAGCCATAGTCTAGTAAGACTCAAAGCTTGAGAGGAAGTGCCTTTCTTGAACAAAAGCCAGAGCTAAAGCCCCCTGTGGACATAGCTTCCATCCCCACACCCCAGTGTGCTGCTTGGTGTAACACTGCAGCCCCTTTGCCTGAAGGCTACCATCTTGTTTTTCTTCTGGCCTCTGGTCCACCTTGTCTTGTCCTGTGACTGCTACCAAAGAGAATCCAACCTCCCATGGCCTCTAAGAAGATTCAGTCGTGTGCACAGCCAGCTGGCAGAACCGTGGCTGCGGTCTCCTTGACTTCACAGGGCCAGCTGCTACCCTGTCCCCTTCAGGGGCATTCCGTGGTGACCCCAGACAAGGCAGCAGCCACCTGGGGACAAGATGATGAAGAAGGACAAGGAAGTACAATGTATGAAAGAATTACTTGGCCAGGCTCAGTGGCTCATGCCTGTAATCCCAGCACCTTGGGAGGCTGAGGCAAAAGGATCACTTGAGCCCAGGAGTTCGAGACCAGCTTGGGCAATATAGTGAAATCCCGTCTCTACAAAAAATACAAAAATTAGCCAGGCATGGTGGCTTGTGCCTATAGTCCCAGCTACTCAGGAGGCAGAGGTGGGAGGATCACCTGAACCCAAGAGGTCAAGGCTGTAGTGAGCCATGATGGCACTACTGCATTCCAGCCTGGGTGACAGCAAGACCCTATCTCAAAAGGAAAGAAAAAAAAAAAACACTTATTGGAGAGAACCCAATGCAGCCTTGATGGTACAGGACTGAGTGTCAGTGGCCTGGCTGGGTGCCGGGCCAGGCGGCACTGCAATTGGCTACATATCCATTTATGGGAATTACTTTCCCAATCTATTAAAAAATTCTAGTGTTGGCCGGGCGTGGTGGCTCACGCCTGTAATCCCAGCACTTTGGGAGGCTGAGGCAGGCAGATCATGAGGTCAAGAGATGGAGACCATCAGGGCCAACATGGTGAAACCCCGTCTCTACTAAAAATACAAAAAGTAGCTGGGTGTGGTGACGCGCCGTCTGTAGTCCCAGTGACTTGGGAGGCCGAGGCAAGAGAATTGCTTGAACCTGAGAGGCAGAGGTTGCAGTGAGCTGAGATCACACCCCTGCACTCCAGCCTCAGCAACAGAGCAAGACTGCGTCTCCAAAAAAAAAAAAATGTATTATAGTGTTGTCAGCTCTCCCTTATGTGGCACCGTAGCAGGTTACTAATGGACGAGAAGCTGTTGGGGGAAGTAGAGTTGTAGGGTGTTGGAGCTAGAAAGGCTCCGGAGTGCTCTAGTTTGGACCTCCAGGTCTCTAGATAGGACAGCCAAGGCCCTGAGACACTGATACCATGGCCAAGATGTCCCAGCAGGATGGTGGGCAGTGCCCACAGTCCAGTGCTCATCCCAGCTCCCCAAGGCCTTGGGCTGCAGCCACTCCATGGTGCCCACTCAAAGTGGCAGATTTTTCAACCATCCAGTCTTTGTAAGTTGCTCACTGCCTTCCCCTCTTCCCTGCCTCCTCACCCCCATGCCCAGATTCCAATTCAGAAGAGGCCCTTCCTCCGTCAGGGAAAAGCAAGTACGAAGCCATGGATTTTGACAGCTTACTGAAAGAGGCCCAGCAGAGCCTGCATTGATAACAGCCTTAACCCTCGAGGAATACCTCAATACCTCAGACAAGGCCCTTCCAATATGTTTACGTTTTCAAAGAAATCAAGTATATGAGGAGAGAGCGAGCGAGCGTGAGAGAACACCCGTGAGAGAGACTTGAAACTGCTGTCCTTTAAAAAAAAAAAAAAAAATCAATGTTTACATTGAACAAAGCTGCTTCTGTCCGTGAGTTTCCATGGTGTTGACGTTCCACTGCCACATTAGTGTCCTCGCTTCCAACGGGTTGTCCTGGGTGCACCTCGAAATGCGGGTCAGTCACCCATCGCCCCTTCCTTCCCGACTGACTTCCTCTCGTAGACTTGCAGCTGTGTTCACCATAACATTTCTTGTCTGTAGTGTGTGATGATGAAATTGTTACTTGTGAATAGAATCAGGATTATAAACTTCATTTTTAATTGAAAAAAAAAGTATATCCTTAAAATAATGTATTTATGGCTCAGATGTACTGTGCCTGGGATTATTGTATTGCTTCCTTGATTTTTTAACTATGCACTGTCATGAGGTGTTTGCCACTGAGCTGCTCTGCTCCCCTTGCCAGATTGCCCTGGAGGTGCTGGGTGGCCGCTAGGCTGGTCTGCAGGAAAGTGCGGCCTGCCGTTTCCAGGCCGTATCTGCCAAGCCCTGCCTTGTCTCTTACTGAGCAAGTTTGGCTCAAATTATAAGAGCCCCCATCTTGTGCCCAGCTCACGCTTCAAGTGTGTGTCCATCCATTTGTACTCAGACCCTTGAGTATCTTGTAAGGAAGGCAGGGTGAGCTGCATCATTCCTGTTTTCCAGGGGAGGCTGGCAGCTCCCCAAGAGGCGAAATGACTGTGGGAGGTCTGGTTGCCAGTGAGGAGGCAGAGCGGTGACCCAGACCAGACTTTCTGATTCTTGGTCCCATGCGTCCGTAGTAGCTGGGGTGAAGACACAGTTTCAGGGACTGGTAGAGGTGAGTTTGGCTAAATTGGGCACCAGGCTGGAAGCCTAAGGGCTCATTTTAGGGGTTACGTTAGCTGTTGATTCACCAGCATCAGGTGAATTCAAGCCCCGGCATGTGTCTTGGGTGCACCATCAGCTTTGATCCTGAGTGGTCCTGCGGTTTGCCTGCGTCTGTGGACACAGTGTCAGAACTTTGGTGACACCCCTGGCAGCGGTACAGACAGGTGGTCTGGGAGCAGTCATCTTTTTTGGGCCAGCCACCAGCCCATCCTACTCCCTCAGGTAGCCCTTCGTCTTTACCTTGTCCTTGTCTGTAAAGTTGTTTTGGTGGCTGGGGCAGGGGAGCCAGGAGGAGGGAGTGAAGGTTGGAAATAGATAGGACAATCTCCTAGCTTCCCTCCAACTGAGAAAACACTCCAATTGGGCTTTGCTTTAAACTTTGTGTTCTTAAGTGATGTCAAAGCCATTTCCAGCTTAATGTTCTGTGGGTACCTTGGGGGCCATTCATGCAGGGAGCATGGCCAGGCAGGGTGTGAGTATATTGTTTCTGATTTCTTTCATACATCAGGGTTCCTTGGGAAATCTTTGTAATTTTTTTTTAAAGTCCTGCTGCTTTAAAAGTTTGAAAGTGGCTCATTAAACTAAACAGGCTAATGTAATTTGTTGCTTATGCAAAGCCTAGTCTGTTGAGAATTTACTTTTTTAAAGATTATCAAATACCTCAGTAGGTAAAATGAGCCCATGATCTTCCACTGGGTGGTGAGCATACTCCCAGCCCATGGATAAGGCTGGAAGAGACAGGCTTTAGTAGGGATAGGGAATTTGAACTGTTGCGTGTCGCAGCAGTTGACCCCTCTGGACTCCAATTTCCTTTCCTGTGAAATGAACTGATTAGACACGTTTCAACATTGTTAGCTTCTGCTGAGGCAGTGTCTAGCCCAAGATGGCAAATACATAGCTCATGTGCCTCTACTCCCACCTCCTTGACTGATACAGACATAACTAATCAATTGCACCACTCAGGTTCCTTGAGCCTGGATGCGCTGTAAGAATCCTGAAATCAGTGCTCTGGTAAGTCATTACTAATTGATTAGGGTTCAGTCTGTTTGACATCTTGGGCTAATCTTTGGAAGGTTTTCAACGATCACACAGAACCATATGCTGGCTGGGTTTCATGCTGGCCTACCCTGTCTGTGATGTTCCGTTCCATGAGAGAAAACTCCCCTAATGCTATTCCGCGGCGCAAAACTCCCAGTACTGTTTTGACACACACATCCCCTTGCGGAAGGTGCAGGGGGCAGTAGACGAATAACAGACAGGAACATATTTGGAGAAGGCAGGGCTTAGGAAGATGGACCAAAAAAGGGACTTCCCACAGCACAGACCTGATCATTCTGATTTCCTTTTTAGCTATTCACTGCCTAGCACATAGTAGGCACACAATAAATGATTATGGAATGGGATAGAATTTAGATCTTTCTGCTGCCTCCACTAAGTAAGTCCTGATTTGCATCAAGGAGAGAACTGAGATAGGAAAGAACACTAGATTCCAAATCTGGAGAGTTGGGGAAGTGCAGATTCTACCGAGAATTTCCTTTGTAACTTTGATAAGTCCCTTCTACTCCCTGGCACCCCAGTGTGCTGAAAGGAGTTGGGCTGTGGATGATCTCTAAGCCCCTCCTATTTGCTTCTTCCTTGATTGCATTTGGTCAAAGGGTGGGCCTTGGGCTGGTGATACTTTAGAGTAAAGAAATGGAGAGTTTTAGCAAAGGACGAGTGTGTCCCTCCCTGCTTTGGGGTCAGCTGAAGCTGTCCTTTCATGTCAGATTAATCTAGGACACTTGAAGTTAGCTTAGACGTTGGCGCTTGAGCAGAGACCTGAGCGTGGCATTGGGACATGACATGCCTAGAGTCAGGGCTAGGGAACGCCAACTGCCAAGGGCATCAAGTAGTCTCTACTTGCCATCCTGTACATAAAACGCTACAAGTTCTAAAATTTACCAACCCTGCAGACAACCTCTATCCCGAAGGACTCATTCGGTGCTGTGTATTATTTAGGGCAACTCCAAGGTCTATTCAGAAAAACGAGTGAACCTTGGTCTCTTTCCCACCAAACTGAGGAGTAACCCAGAGGGAGCAGCTGCCATTGGCAACCATCTCGTTGTAGCTCTGTCCTAGTGTTTGCTCTTGATGATGTTTACATGTAATCGCCATAAAGCTTGCTGTAGACTGTGTCGATAGCCGCCCGCACAGGGCAGATCGTACTGTCTGTTTCTGTGCCGTGCTGGTGTTTTCCAAAAATGTCTGATCCAACCACTAAGTGGAATTCTTCCATCTCCTTCCTCAGTCTGTACAAGGCTGAATCAGAATCCCTGTTCTCGGGGGCTCTGGTTACCGAAGGAAAATGCATCAAAGAGGTAAAGAATATGAGTGGATGGAGTGCAGCTAAGGCCCTCACCCCCTGCTCCGTCACAACTTGCCCCCTCAACCAAAAAGTTGCTTTGACTCAAAAAGCACCCATAAGGTATCTGCATCTGCCTTGAAATCTTGCAGCATGGAGTGTCATATATACTCAGGAGAGAGGCAGGGCTTTGCGGGCAGGAGAAGGAAGGGAGGAATGCTCTGAGCTGCAAAGACCCAGTACTCAAGTTCTGACACGGGAAGAGATGCGGTGAGACGTCTTTTGTTGCCTAAAGCCTGTTCCTGTTGGTTTTTGAGAGTGATTTCTCCTAGACATGTGCAGTAGGCCCACTGGGGCTGCTGTGCGGTGGTGAGTAGAAGGGCAGGGAAGGCATGGACAGCCTGGGCCTTCTGCATGGACAGCTCAGTCCATGGCCCATCCTAGGTATAGAGTTCAGTTAATCCCAGTTGAGCCTTCAGCTTGAGAGATGGCTCATCCCAACTGTGAAGCACCAGCCCCACAGGATGTATTGATCTGACTCACTGATGTCAAAACTGCAGTATTTTTTTAGCATTTGAGATTTAGCAGCTGCCTTCAGTTTGGGGTTACCCATATCCCAGCATCAGATATGATTAAGGAAAGAAATTGGATGTACAATAGCAAAGAAAGTGAATGTAATGGCTTCACTGGCCAAAGAAGAGGGACCCTGTCATCCCTTACCAGTGGGGCAGAAGAAAACTAGTGCATGTGCAATATGTCAAAGCTAGTCCCCCAGTCCCTGAGGTGTTTTTACATACAGATGGGCTCCAGGTCTGCTTGTCAAGTTTGGAGGTACAGGGTAAATGAAGGAAGAGCTTCAGAATTGGAAACCCACATGCATGGATGTGTCCTTGGCCCAGAACCACCATGGGATGAGTGAAGCCCTGGGAGCCGGCTACAGGATGCCCAGGAAGTAGGCAAATGCTGACTTTGCATTAACCAAATAAAAGCACTTTGAGAAAACCCCAACACTTCAGCCTGGCTCCGTGTTTCTACCTGGAAAATATGAGTCTCCTTTGGCTGTATGAGGTGCTCTTCTAGAGACTGGGACAGGGAATTCAGGAATGCGGCTGCTGTCAGGTAGGAGAGAGCAGCAGGAGAGCCAGTGCTGTCAGCAGCAGGAGCTGTCAGCAGCAGGAGAACCAGTGCTGGGGCCAACCCTTTGCTGGCCTTTTGTTGGAAGCCCTCGAAACAGGGAGCCGTGGATTTAGATCTTGGTACCTACCTTTACAGAAAGATGAAAACAGCCCAGCTGAGTGAAATGGGTTTGTAGAGTAAGTCACTTAACTATAAGCCATCTCAGAATCAGAAACCCCAATGTTTCTTACTTGCTGTGTGACCTTAGGCCCCTGTGTCCTCATCTACCAAACGAGAATGTTGAATATGAGCATTAAAGTCCCTTTCACCTCTGAGAGGCTCAGATCCCCAGCCAGGAGCATTGGGAATCCATCACTCCTCCTTGAAACTGATTCCATTCTCTGACTTGACCCAGCTCCTGTTCAGGGTGAGGTTCTCTACAAGAACCAACCAGCGGTAGGTTCAGTCCCACTGTGTCCTGGCTGAGTTGCCTTATTCAAGGAGACCAGCTCCCCGGGACAGATCTAAGCCATAATTTCTAGTGGGGACAGTAAGGAATTAAACCCCCAACTTGGCTAGGTAATGATGTCAAATCTCATATTAACCTTGTCTTTGTCCCCACTGGACAGCTGTTAATCCGAATGTTGTGACCACTTGGCTGTTTCTGTCTTGTTCTCAGACAATACTAGCAATACACTTGTTTTTTTTTGTTTTTTTTTTTAAAGAAAAACAGCTTAGGCACTTTTCACACATTTCTTTCAAATGATTGTAAAACATATGGGGCAACAGGAGGCATTGATCACGCTGCATATGTTTAGGACAGCTTTTGTTTTTTGTTTCTGTAATGGTATAGCAGCAGTGACTGAGGCTTCGTGATTCGTGGGGACAGCTTTTCAGATACTCCATTTCATCAGTATGCTTTGCACATCCGAAAGGAGGACAAAAATCCAACTGCCCGA